GGGGGGTCCGATCTGTGAGTTTGAGGGGTTGATGGAGTAGATCAAGGGGGGTGGTGGTGGGAGGGAGAGAAGGGGCGAAGAACAGAGCCCTCTGTTCGTCGTGCGCCGCCAGGAGAAAGATGGGGATGGGTGGGCTGGCCCGCGCGGTTATCCACTTACCGGGGCCAGACGCCAGGGACCCTGGCGTCTGGCCCCTTTGCCACGTCAGCAGGTCAACGGGCAGGCGGGCAGTGCGGGCCAGGGGCCAGACGCCAGGGACCGTGGCGTCTGCTTCGTAACCCAGACGCCAGGGACCTTGGCGTCACCGAAAAAGGTCAGAAACGAAATTTTTTTTGGAACGAGGTCAAATCGGGATTTAGTTTGCCTTAAGGGTCAGAACAGTAATTTTGTCCCACCGGAGCACCACGGTTATTTTTCCTCCCTCTCCTCTCGCTGTCGCCCTGTCGCCGTCGCGGCAGCACCACTAGCCGGCCCGGTGGCATGGCGCACTCGGCAGATCGTACACTAAGCCGTAACAGCCGGAGGCACGGTTGCAGGACTGTCCCGTCCGTTTGGGCACGCAGGGCGCCACCTTGGCGAAAATGGGAGCGTCGCCGTTAGTGATGGGATCGGCCAGGCGGCCTACCGCCCTAAGCAAGAAAGAGCCACGGCACGACGCATCGGGCCCGGTAGCTCTTACTTGAAGCATTGCATTTGCTTTGTCGTTGCGCGCCATGAGTGGGGTTTATAAGTCACTCCCTCCCCGCTCCCCGGAACGGCATGATCGCAGGCCGCTGCCGGGGTATATACAGGTCTTGAGGTGGTAGGAGACGGCGGCGGCGGCGTAGGAGATGAAGGACTTGGCGGGGCTGGGGCACTTGTTCGTGGTGGCATTCCTCTTCCACTTCTCCTCCTTCATGGTGCTCCCGGCGATCACCGACGTGACCATGGAGGCCGTCTGCCCCGGCCGCGACGAGTGCTCCGTCGCCATCTACCTCAGCGGCTTCCAGAACGCCGTGAGCAATCTCACCGCTGCATTTGCATGGACCTTCTTCTGCCTCTGTTTTTTGACATTGGCACGTACGTATGCATGTGCAGATCACGGGGCTGGGGGCTCTGGTGGTGACTCCGATCGTCGGGAATTTGTCGGACAAGTACGGCCGGAAGGCGCTGATGACGCTGCCGGTGACCGTCGCCATTTTGCCTCTCTGTACGTATGCGCCGAGTCTGCTCTGCACCGTGATAATTCGTTGGCGAGGTTAATGTGTGGCGGGTGTGTGATCATGATCATTCGTTGCTTTGTTTTGGCAGTTATATTGGCGTGCAACCGATCGGAGGTGTACTTCTACGCGTACTACGTGATGAAGATCCTCGCCGGGATCTTCTGCGAGGGCAGCATCCACTGCCTCTCGCTTGCTTACGTGGTAAAAAAACATCAGATATATCAGTCTAATTACTGCACGAAATTCAAATGAGGGGTTTGAAGAAAAAAAATCAAATATATATTTGCATTTATACCTCCCGTACAAAAAAGAACGCACGACAATTACCCGTACAGAAGAACGTGCTTGGTACAAACAAATAGTAAAACATGTCAAAAAAACAAATAGTAAAACGGGAAAGAAGCTGGCTGGGCCCACGTGTCATGCAACACAAGCATGGGGCTCAGCCGCTAGTTCGTGACCGCTGACTGACGAGGCGAATTTTGTGGCGCAGGCGGACCACGTAGGGACCAAGAGGCGGGCGGCGGCGTTCGGGCTCCTCTCAGGCGTGTCGGCGGCCGGCTTCCTCTCGGGGACCCTCACCGCGCGGTTCCTCACCACCTCCTCCACCTTCCAGGTCGCCGCGGCCGTCGGTGCAGCGGGAGCCATCTACCTCAGGGCGTTCGTCCCGGATTCCGGCGCCGCTGTCTCCTTCCATGACGATGCCTGCGATCCCCTGCTCCAAGGCTCGTCCTGCTCCTCTGCGGCTTCGTCTTCCGCTTCCTCCGACGAAGAGCTGTCGCCAAGGCTTCCGCCCTACAAGGGCGTGCTGCCGTCGCCGTCCGACATGGTCGCGCTTCTCACTGGCAGGTGAGGTTTCTGCTGCCCAAGTGGCTGTGCCCTTTTTACTCCCTTCTGAAAGTTGATTTTGAGAGGAATTTTGGCCTTCCAAATCCATCTGTAATGACAGCCACTAAGAGGGTTTTCCAACCATTTATACATGGATTTGGTAGAGAATCTACCATTCCCATTGAGCCCCCAATACACCCGATCCCCCTCGGGACTAGGTTGCAAATTGTTAATACAGTTCCTCATTTCCTCCCATTGTTTCTGGAGGTCAGGAGTGAGCCTTCTCCTGAAGAAGGTGTTGGTTTCCACGTTGTTCAGATGTTACTACTCCCTCCGATCTATATTAATTGTAGACTTGGTACAAAGTTGAAGTACAATTTTGTCCACGTCAAATCCTCAATCAGAGTAACTTGCAAGATAGCACGCTGCCACTTCTCAGTTCTCACTGAAGAATTATGAGTAGTGTTTGCTGATGTGCGGTTACTGTTCCTTGCAGTTTGACCTTGTCAACGGCAGCAATGATTACTTTCTTTTACAGTCTCGGTGAACACGGACTTCAGACTGCATTACTGGTACGTATTCTTACTGTCTCATGTCCAAGTTGACCATTATTTGGAATTTGAATTAGCAATGATCAAAATTTACAAGTCCTAGTGTTTCAACAAATATTTCAAAGGAGAGAAAAACTGATAGGAGCTGGGATCCTACCAGGTCTAGCTCGTAGGTTGTAGGGGTGGAAGGGGGCTTGGCGTGGAGGAAGACGAGGTTGCCGGCGCTGGGGCGCCGTCGCGCGCGAGAGAGAGGGCGCAGGAGGCGGCGGCTAGGGTTAGGTCTCCCGGCTCCCTTCAGGAAGCCGAGCAAATATGATTGCTTCTGCTTAACTTCAAACGAGTCCTTACATGAGTTTATATAATCTCCAAATACGATAACTGGGCTAAGCCCCTAATAACGATAAGATAACTGGGCCAGGCCCCTAACTACCTGGGCTGTAGTATATGCCGGCCATAACATCTCTCCTCACCTGCACAAACAGCTCGTCCTCAAGCTGGAAGGCGGGGAAGCGCTTGCGGAACTCCTTGAGGTGATCAACGGGCGCCAAACACCTCCGCGTCAGCTGGGGCGGGCAGGTCGCCGAGCCCGGCGGCGGTGATGTCCTCCTCAATGTAGTCTGCAGCCTCCAGGTAGAAGAGTCGCGGGCAGACGTGGCTGGGAACGTAGGGCTCGTCGTAGTTGAAGCACAACCCTTGGCGGCGACGCTCGAGTTGCTCGGCCGGGGTGAGCCGGCAGAACGGGCGCGCCGCGGTCGCGGCGAGGGGCGCCCTAGAAGCCTGAGCAGGCCGACCCTACGCGGGAACTTCCAGCCAGGGTGGCGGCCCAGCAGCCCGGAGTGGTGGCGCCTGCTGGATGGCCACCGTGTGGCGCTCGAACGCGCGGGCGTAGTACATGGCCGTCTGGAGGTCCTGTGGCCCGCGCATCTTCATGTCCACGCGGATGTGATCCGGTAGGCCGCCGACGAAGAGCTCAGCCCGCTGACGAGCCGAAACACCGGGGGCGTGGCATGCCTGGAAGCGGTCAGCGAAGTCTTGCACTGTGGTGAGGAACGGAAGGCGCCCAAGCTCCACCAGATCCCGCGTATAGGCGGACCGAAGCGCAAGAGGCACAGATCGCGGAAACGCTTCCATGGTGGCATGCTGCCCTCGTCCTGCTCGAGGGCGTAATACCATGTCTGGGCGGCGCCTCGTAGATGATAGGAGGCGATCCAGGTGCGGTCGGACGCGAGCATGCGCTGCCCCCTAAAAAATTGGTCGCATTGGTTGAGCCAATTCAGGGGGTCGACGGCGCCGTCGTAGGTCGCGAACTCCAATTTGGAGAATCTCGGCGGTGGCTGGGCGTGGACGATTGGCGGGTATGTGTCATCTGCGCGGAACAGCGAGGGCGACGGCGCCGAGTGTGCGGGGTGCAGAGTACCGACATGGAAAAGTGGGCCGTCCACACCATCGTAGGGACCCGCGGCACCCAAGGACCCGCCGAACTGCATGGTCGAGGGCGGCGCCGGCAGTGACATCACGTGCGGCTGTCCTGAGGCCATCGTATAGACCGG